AATTTGATTTCTTGAGTGGTAGGAAGGTTAAGTTTACCTAACTTTACGAAGTGTCATTCAAAAGCGTTATTTTTATGTGTTCATGGAAAGTTAGGGATAGAAAAAAAAGCCTTTTGGACCATTCTAGTCAATTATCTGTTTACTTCTGATTACTTCCTTACTGTGTATTTTCTAGTGATTTGTCCAGTCTATACAATGCATTTCACCAAAACTGGGTAACTACTACTTTACTACGATATTTGATATTAAAGTCATAGCAATTGTGTCAGATTCATTTTCATAGTCCAGATGGCACATCTGCTACAGTCTAGAAACAAGTTGGACTTTCAGGTTTCATATTTCCAGAGTATGTTCTCCAAGCAATGTACTCCATGCCTGCAAAAGAGGCTATTCAACCTTAGCTACTACTACCACATGAAAGTAACATTGCTAGATGATTGACCTCCTCCACCAGAGGTTAAGTACTAGTAAAGTTAATAAGTCAAGGTGGAAAGATTTGCAAAAGTACAATAAGATTATCTAAAATGCAAGCTGTCCTATAGAATGTTTAAATAAGTGAGTATAGGTAGCACACTCACTAAAGCTTATTTGGAGCATAACAGATGCAATTTAGAAACCTTAAAATATTTCACACTTGGCTTTACAAACAGAACCATTATCACACCAGAGTTAGTTTTCTTTTCTTTTTTTTTTAATAAATGCAATCAAGCTAAGGAACAATTTAAAGCTAGAACATCATGTTCTGAAACTCTCATGCTATTAACATATTGATACATTATCTTTTGTTTATCCCTGAATTCAGTCACACAGAATTACATTCCAGTTGCTACTGAGAACACACACCACACATTTGCGGAAAAAAAAAAAAAGTCTCACGTATAATCAAATACATATTCATTCCCAGCCTTTGATGCAGTAGATGCAGTAACCAAAACGCTAATTGCTATACCAAACAGGAAGGCACAAAAAAGCTTGCCTTTATAATCTTAATGCTTGTATCTTATTCCACTTACAAGAAACGTTCTAAATGCAAAAGTGCTGAAATAAAGCTTGAGTTTAAAATGGTCTCCATTTTAGAGATGCTGGCTAACATTAAGAACAGTTGATAAAAAAACTGCATATTCTATTCAAATGGCCTTGGCTAGTCTTTTTTTTTTGTACATAGTGCTTTTCATTTGTGCTTACTTTACAGTTCCCAGTTTTCCACAGATTCTTAAGTCGAATATCTCTTAAGAAACAAGGCAAAACATTATCAAGTTGTTAAAAAAATAAATGTTTGTTTATGAAGACTCTGTAGATTCTGTATAATTTTTAGCTCAGGAACAAAAGTATGTTTTACTTTTAATGCTAGTAATAGCAGTATTAAGTGTAAAAATATAGAAAACAGTTTGTAAATATGGCTAAGTAATAATTTGTAAGATATACTTTTTTTCCCCCCTTCATCTTGTTAAGCTTTATTTTTCTTAATTTTATAGAAAACAGCAGCTCTGGCTTTTATCCTCATACATTCACTCTTTACGAGCACTGCAAGACTATACATACATTAGCCAAAGTAACCATACATTTTATTGGATTCTTACTGCATAACACAAAGAAGCTTTGATTTTTGTTCTTTAAAGAGATCCAAAATCTTTTAAAATATTTTTTAAAAATCCCATCATTGTTTTTTTCCCCATTTCCCATAAGTAATCATAGCTAGATTAAATCATTCAAAATTCTTATTTGCTTTAGTTAGTTAGCAACACAATAAAACCAGAAATTATTAAAATGCAGATGAGGCGGTCAAAAGACCACCAAAAAAGCTAAGTAAAACTACTCTACCTACCTGGCTTAAACACCAGTTAAATTTTAGCACACAGCCACCATGAGTAACCACCCATTATACGACGCAAAATAGCCCCTAGAATTCAGCTTGCATATTTTATATGCAATGCTTTTTGTTACTTGTATCTACATAAAACTCATTCCTGAACAACTAGATTTTTCCTCCAACTGATGCCTTGACTGGCATCACCAGCTATTGTTTGTAACATTACAAGCCATTAACATGAAGGAGATTCTGATGTCATCAACATGTGGCACCACTAAATCAGTAAGGATCAAGGAAGTTCATTAAGAACAGCTACTTAGCTACAGACCTCCGTGATCAGCACCAATGAGTTAATGAAATGCAGAAAGCATGATGGTAAAATGACTTTCAGAGAAGCTCTTGAATTTCTGCTACTTAGTAAAAAGAACAAGATACAACAGTGCTCAGCCATGATGTGCAGATTTTATAAAGGGAGTTCACAGGTTTCCCAAACCAGGTAGTTTGCTCAGACTATATTACTAACAGCATGTGGAAGTGCCTAAAAATCCCAATTTGTGTCATCTTATGCCTATACAGCACCTACCACAATTCCAATGGTCAGTTAAAGCATGCAAGAGACATCTTACTATCTACATTATTTGTACTGCTGAAAGAAGATTAGCCATACTGGCTCAGACCAATAGTCCATCTAGTCCAGCATCCTGTCTTCCAACAGTGGACAGTGCAGATGCTTCAGATGAACAGAACAAGGCAATTATCGAGTAGCACCTAGGAGCCCCACTCATGGACAAGACCCCATTGTGCTAGGCACTGTACAAAAACAGATCAAAGATAGCTATGCACCATCACATTTAAATTTCTAATTAATAGGTAATGTTTAGTGCAGGCAAACTAGTACACAGAAAATATTAATCTTTATCGCCCATTCTAAACTTCCCCAGCCACTAATTTAAAAACACACTTTTCCCCCCTCAGATGATCTTCTTATAATTCCTTTAGCATTTTATGACTGCTCTTACTATTTCTATAAAGAACCCCTCCTCCCTCCAACTTCCCCATAGCCAACTTTCTGGCAACCTAAATTTAGAGGCATAAACATTTAGTCTCATGGTACATCAACTATAGTACCCAGGTTTTGTTAAGTTACACAGTTTGGAGAATGATTTACTGCATTGAACAATTCACAAAAGGTTTACTGCTGCTGCAAAATATAAATTAACTCAGTAAATGCTTGCTCACTGAAATAAAAAAAATATCTTTCAAACAAACTACAAACTTCAGGCTTAAGGAGTAAAAATAATTCCAAAAAGATTTTCTATACACTAGTCACTGTAAAAATACTGTATTAATTACAAAATATATTTGGTTGAAACAGACCTGAATGCTAAGGCATAAATTCTTTACATTCTAAGACAAACCCCTTTACATACTTGGTAATCAATTTAACCAAGTGATTCAAAAATACTGGGTAGCAAAGACTATTTCATTATAACCTATACTCAAGAGAAAGTTAAAGAACAAGATGCTGCATCTCAGGAGGATCTCCATGAACAAAAAAGGACAATGACTAAATTCTGAATGTCATCTTGTTTAAAAAACACCATTTGTTTAGCATTTTTTAATATATGCCACATAATCCACACAAATCAGCAATTATTTGTAGAATTCAATAAATCTTTTAAACTACTTGTCAAATCCTAAAAAAAATAAAATCAATCACAAGCCCTTTTCAACTGCTCTCATAACGAAGGCTTTGAGATCCTGGTTGGGGGGGGGGGTCCATATTTTTGGGAGGGGAGTGGCTTATTTGTTGAGTGACAGGACGAGGTTATTCTGGGGAACAATGAATGGGAGTGGGGAGAATGGGGGGGGGCAGAGGACAGGAGCGGGACTAGAGTATGATGCCAGGAAGGGTGGGGGAGGCCCATTTGTTGGCCCTGGGGGTCTCGTCTTGGGAAAGGCAGGGGGCTCCCAAAGCCCAGCCCCGCTCACCAAACCGCCATTCGGGGGCCAGGGGGATTATCCCGATCGCGCACCTTCCACAAGGCCCGGGCGAATTCAAATGTCACCTTCGCTCGGGGCGGGTAGGAGGAAGCCCCCCTGCGGCGGGCTTTAGTCCCAGCGCCCCCGGCTGTAGGGGCTGGGGCCAGCCCCCTCTCCCAAGGCCCAGGACCGCTCCCCCCACGGCGGGGCCTACTCCTGGCTCAGCGCGGAACCTGGAGGCCCTCTCCGCCCCGCGCTCTCCTGCCGGCGGGACGAAGGGGGGCGCCGGCCTAGAGGAGAACCTGAGGGAAGCGACGGGGCGGAGCCGGGAGGGCAACCCCCCGGTGGTGGGGGGAAGGGCTGTTCCGGTCGGCGGGCGCTCC